GAACATGGGCATTCTAGCCACAGGTCCACATAGCCACACTTGACTGTCTCTCAACTCATCTCATTTTGTGGACGACCTTGCGCTGATCAGCCGTCCAGACGACTTGTTGTGCGATCTGAGGCCAGACAGTTGATCTGGCAGACGTGGGTTGTGGAGAAACTAGCCTCATTTGTGTTTCCGTTTCAGAATCTGGTTGGGCTTTTGCTGTTCTATCTCCCAGACAGTCTGATCTGGCCAATAAACTGGGCAGTCTGGAGTCGCCTCGAATAGGCTCCCCTCTTCTTCGATGCCTTACTCAGTCTCGGAAACCGATGTGCCCACTCACGAGCCCAAATCTTGGTAATCAGACAGACTGTAAAGCCTCTTTCTATGAATATGGTGTGGCAAAGAGACATCGCAACGACGACTGCTCTCACTCTTTCCCTCTCACTTTCCCACTCTCTCACCCCTCGCTATGCTGGCCATATTGCCTCTTCAGGAGCTCTCTCAAGTCAGTCTGGGCAAGGATAGCACATTCCGTGCCGCTTGCGAGTACAAGCTTTTCTGCGACACCTTCGCCGTGGACGCCCAGCCCTACCCAACCTGTCACGACTCGAACTGGGGCCCGGCCTGGCCGCATGTCCAGTACTACGGGCTCGAGCCGAGCCACGAGGAGGGCGTGCTCAGCGTATCCGCACCCGCCGCACCCGACGGCACGATTGTTCCCGTCACTTCGCAGGTATGCAGGTCTGCCTACACATGCTCTCCTCTTTAGTGTCCACCCCGAAAGGGGTTGCTGAGTCGACCCCAGCCAGAGAACTCCTTCTCGAACATGCTCATTGGGCAAAGTTGCCTATGCTTGCTTTTGACAGCCTAGTTTTGATTCATCTTTAATAAGACGCATAGACATCCTTGGCTGGAGTTGGTGATGAATGAGTCAAGGTCGAAGTTTCCCACAATCAAATGTGTAGGCTTAACGTTTCCATTGAATTCCACTTTGTATATGCTTGCGGCAAAATTAAGTATAAGTCCTTCATCACCCTAGGCGATCTAAAGCGACTGAAGTGTTTAATCAGAACCTACTGATAGTCTGGAAGTCATACTTTTTTCTAATACAGATATATGAGATGCATTCACCTAATTTCGTTTTAGCTGATGAAGAACCGCTAGTAGAATTTTCCCACATTGATATGAATAGAGCTGACGTTTCCATTCAACTTCACAGCCTTACTTTCCTTAAAGTTGTTCTCATCCAGGCATCAGTGAACTGCAGTTTCAACCTCGATTTACAGAATATTTTTCGTATATAATTAGAGTTTCGAGACTACCAGTAAATCAGTAGTATGAGATGCATTCACCTTATTTCGTTTAAGCTGATAACAGACTGGTAGTAGAACTTTCCCACAATCATATGAATAGAGCTGACGTTTCCATTCAATTTCACAGCCTTAATTTCCTAAAAGTTGTTCTCATCCAGGCACCTGTTAACTGCAGTTTCAACCTCGATTTACAGAATATTTTTCGTATATAATTAGAGTTTCGAGACTACCAGTAAATCAGTAGTATGAGATGCATTTACTTAATTTCGTTTAAGCTGATAAAGAACTGGTATTAGAATTTTTCCACAATCATATGAATAGAGCTGACGTTTTCATTCAATTTCACATAGACTTGCTTTCCCAAGAGTTTTTATCATCCCGAATGGAGTGGACTGCAGTTTTGACCTCGCCTAGGTCTTATCAACAGCTCCAGCGGGAGTCGAACCGTAACAGATCAGCATGCGAACCTGACACGTCAACCACTCGGCGACATTGCCACGAGTGCCCTTGGGTCACAGGGCAGATGACAATCCCACCAATGAATGTGATATTAGAAAAGGCCTGGCCTTCCTTGAAATTAACATTTGCCCTGTGACCCAAGGGCACTCGTGGCAATGTCGCCGAGTGGTTGTGTCATGTTCACATGCTGATCTGTCACGGTTCGACTCCCGCTGGAGCTGTTGATAAAACCAAGTAGTCGGCTAGTGCCTGGATGAAAACAATTTTTGGGAAAAATTGAATGGAAACGTCAGCTCTACTCACATGATTGTGGGAAAATTCAACTACCAGTACTTCATCACCTTAAACGAAATATGGTGAATACATCTCATACTACTTATTTACTGGTAGTCTTGAAACTCTATTTATATAGGAAAAATCGAATACAAATAGCCATGTCGATTATAGTGGTAAAACATGTTTGCTTTGGCGATAATTCTACTATAAAAATGGGATATCGAATAGGCCTAGCTTGGCTTGCTGTGAAATTTACATGTACACTGTCGTAACATGTAGAAAAGACACACTACACTACTAAAATCCGTAAATGTGAACCAACCTTCATCATCCCAAGCGACCTAGTGTGACTAAAGCTCTTATTGTTGAGCTTACTTCCATTTCGAGTGGAAGTGTTGGGTGAAGAGATTAGAAGATCGGTTCAACCAGAAGACGACGGCCGATTCCTCTTGACCAGCTGTCAATTCACTTTACTGCTACAGCCATGGTGACGCTGTTTCCGAGGCAATCTATTTCAATTCTGGTGAAAAGGCGCTAAGCTTTTGTGCGTCATATGACGAACATCATCAGAGCGAGGTAACATCGTCACAACAAAATTCAAGCTAACGAGTCAAGAAAACTCAGGCAAATCCCATATTTGGCCTCTTTGATCAAGTATAAAGTGATTTGGTTAGTTACTGTCATATGTCAACTTCGAAGCTTGTGAATGTCTGTCTCTGTATGTGTATGTTCTTGTATGTGTTCGCCTATGCACGAGGGCAGCAGTGATGGCTCAAAGTAATTAGGACAGCAAAATTAAC